TATGTAAAAGTTTACGCACGACGCACAACGGACGACGGACGACGGACGACGGACGACGGACGACGGACGACAGACGACGGACGGAAAGTGATTGGAATAGGTCACTTGAGCAAAGCTCAGGTGACCTAAAAAGCATAGGTTTATTATTATAAGTAATCTATACTTGAAATGTATAGTCCACCCTTTGTAAATTTTACCAATGATAAGTCTACAATGGGTAATTAACCTATACCTTTTGTACACTTTTACCTGTTTTCTATATAAAGACATAGCCAGGTACAGATTTTTCAAGAATTCAATCTACCGGTACATTTCATTTATTTTAAGCCCACCCCTTGTACAGATTAGAAAATCAGCTTTGTTTTACCTGCTCCTTCCTGGAACTGAGTCTGTTTCACTCCTTTTAGTTTTTTCTGTATGATGCACTCCTCACCGCGATTGTGTGATTTGATGATACGTTCCACACACCTGTGAATATGATCATGATCAAACACAATGTCCCAAACTCTGATCACCTCGGAGTAAATCCTCCCTCCTCTCACAGCAAGATCTTCACCTTCTTCTTCTTCAACATTCAAACGGCGTTCGGCAGATTCACTCAACCGTGGCGAAAATGCAATGGCTAGTTCCCACAGTATCCTGCCTCCCTTTGACAGTTTGGCCTCAAAAATTCGCAGTGCTTCGGGCATTTTGCTGGCAGTAACTGGTTTACAAAGGGATTTCCTCCATTCCCCACTGGCCAGGTGCTGGACTTTACAGACAATGCGCCGTTTCAGTTCAGGAAGGACATGGTTGTCACGGAGAGTTCTCCAGACATCAGACGTACATTCCACCTCCCATTCCAGATTGTCAAAAGCCTGAACATCTACCTGTATAATTGAATATTGTAACAGCAGAGCGTAAAATATGAAAATAATTACAGGTAGCAAAATTTTCTATTCAACAAATTTTGTCCTTTTAAGTGGAAATAGTACTTAGAGTAGAAGGTGTGCAAATATGTATTCTTATAATGGAAAGTAAAAGCATGAAAATAATAGTTTTCTTTAACTTAATTGATCTAGGACAAAGAATATCTGTTGTGTACCTCATAGGTTTCTTTTTCCTCATCCTCTTCTGCTTCCAGCTCCCCATTGGTCACGGCCTCCACCTGCTGCTCTTCCTGCGGAGGGGGTGCGGCAGCAGTTGCATCAGCCTGATGGGCTGTTCCATCCAGTTTCTCCACCTATGAACAACAGATGAATATGTTCAATTGTGCAAAAGAGTTAAATACCTGAAATTCTACTGCTATTGAGTAGCAGCTTCAGCAAAAATAATGCATCAGGTAAATACAAAAGTAAAATGGAATAAGAAAACTTAAAGGCACATACTATTTCATGGGCTAGCAAGGCAATCGTAACATGCATTATTATACGGATGGGAAAGAAAACCAGTAACAATACTTTAAGGATGGACAATGCAACTACTACAAATAGGTGTACAAGGACACAAAAAATGCATTATTTTATGGATGTGAATGGGAAAAAAACATTAAACATTATTTTGTTAGTGGGCAAGGAAACCAGAAACGTTATTTTATTAGTTCACAAAGTAACCAGAAATGCAATACTAAGCGAGTAAGACAATGAGAAACATTAATATATGGCTGGGCAAGGCAACCAGAAATTAAATCCGAGAAATATGGCATATCTTATATCACAGAAACTGTAAGGTGATTTGGGATCCACCTTAGTGAATGTCTAAAAGATATAGAATCCCAAAAGGGAAAGAAATTCAGACAATCGGAAAAAAAGCAGTCAGAGTCTCGGATCAATAAATTGGCAATCACATCAAAATCATGTTTTATTGACTGAGTTTACTCCAAAGTATTTTGATCAATCTGTCCAAGCAAAAATAAGCATTCTGGACACACCACAGTGGGCCAGTTCTGAACCAAGATGAGGGGGCTCATAGACTCTCCCATATCTATGACCAGGTAACCAGGCAAGGGTTCAGAAAACAAGAGGTCCATGGGCCTTAACGGTCACCTGGTATATTTATACAGAGAGTTGATTTTGTTTTTAACACGTACAGAAATATTATTCAAAGTGACAAAAAACAATAAAACCACCTTATTCAATATCTCGCATACAGATTTAAGACTAAAAAGTATTTGAAACTAGCACCTCTGATTCTAAACAAGGATAATGAAGAAATTTTAGCACACTGACTCCTTTGCGCCCCACCCTACAGCCCTTGGGGATAGGGCTGGCTCAATATTTTCAAAGTATCAAACTGTCAACTCAAGGTTATAATTCCAATCAAGTTATTAACATGTAATATTCAAAGTATCATTTGCCATTATAAACCATAATAAATTTTGCCCAAGGGTCAAGAAATTCACAATTTTGGTAAAGCACCTGAAGACCCTTCCATCTATGAAGAGTATTTGATTCAACTATATCTGGGTCTTGAGAAGAAGATTTTTGAAATTTTAGTCAATTTGACCCTTTTTGGCCCCGCCCCTCGGGCCCCTGGGAGCTTGGGACTAAAGTTCCTGCAAAATTTAATTGAAATTGGTTCAGGGGTTTTGGAGAAGAAGTCGAAAATGTAAATTGTTTACGGATGCACGACGGACGACGACGGACAAAAGGCGATCGCAATAGGTCACTTGAGACTTTGTCTCAGGTGACCTAAAAATCATTTTATGAGAGGAGGGGACAAGGAAACGTATTTTTTCTATTCTGAATGTTTGGTTCAACAATAACTGCATCTATTCTACCTTAAGATCATCTTTCTTGTCTGGCGATCTGGCTCCCTTCTGACCTCCACCTGACCTTCGTGACCTCCAACCTTCCTCCATTCTGGGAACTTTGGGGTTGAATATAGAGTAAGGAGTGTCTGGCAGATTGAAGATCATTTCCTCTATCTTCTTCTTGGCTGTTTCACGATGTGTTGAAGTCTTAGCAAAAATCAACTTCTTATCTTTGCGTGGGACTTTTTCCGGTGCGGCACGAGCCTGCGTTTCATCTGTCCTACTGTATAGTAACAGATCCTGTTCTTCATCAAGCACATCATCCTCCGACATCTTCAGCCTCGTTTTTTTTGGCTTCTTGGTTGCCGGTTTGGTTTCTGTCTCAATAGATGCCAGTCGAAAGAACTGCAGTCTATGTAGTGTATAAAGCAGAAACAGAGGTGAATGAAATTTTAATGTAACTATACATTGTAACAATCCCCTCATAGCTCACTTCCCTAAATAATACACCAATGGCAAGTTTTATCATTTCATTAACAATTGTCAAAAATACATAAAATATCTGTTGTCCAAAATTACATAATAACATGATTATATATTATTCTTACTTATTACAGTCTAGCATGTATTTGTGCCTCTTAAGGATCTCTGTTCCACTGATCTGCGTTTTTCCTTTATACAGTAACCTCCCCTTAGCTTCCTTTCGGATATAACTACAGCACAGTTTAGCCAGGACACTTCCATTGATCAGGTGGCTTGTTTGTTTAGAGCTATAGTTTAACAATCTGAAGTCTAGGATTGCATCCTGGTCTAGTCCCGCAAAATTTTCACAAGCTTCTGCAGTGCTGTTGATTATTTTTATTTCATCTCTGTTATTTTTCATAAGATTGTGGTGGTACGGGGATCCTTAAAAGAGTTGGAGAATTAGACAGGAGTACTCATTCAAGCTTCAATGCCCATTTTCTTTGTATTATGCATTTTTCCACAATAATAATTAATAATAGTTAACACTGATATATAGGATCTTACACGAGTTTCCATTTCATATGAGATTTATGAAACAAGTCTAAGAAGTTTTCAATTTAGCGAGCCTCTGGCTGATTGTAATATCCAATTAAAATTAGGATCAATAATTTTTTTTAAACTAGATAACATAAAACCTTCAGCAACAAATTTAGGATAATTTCTTTAAAATCTAATTAATGAAAATGTGTGCAAGATCCTTTTTATGACATAATCAAGATTTGTGGCATGTACTCTTGTAAAATGACAATTGTCATGCAACCTTGAAATGTAAAAAGCCTCCATTTTGACTCCAGTGCGTAAGGCTGTGACGTCATGTTATTGTCTAGGCGTGACATCACAATTGAAACAAGAGGCCCAATGGGCCTGCATCGCTCACCTGGTATTAATCTCACACTTGTAATCTTAAAAGTGGACTAAAATACAGCTACAGGCAAAATATCAGTGTTTCATTCATAAGAACCTATTAAAAGATTTAAACATATGACACCTGTGACCTTGAATGTCGAACAAGGACATTATAATATTGGGTTGAAAAGAGTTTATAGTCTTCCAACCCAGCATGCTTCTGGAAAAATATCATTACCCTGGACCTTTTGGTTATACAGAACAAATCATTTAAAGATTTAAACATATATTGACCACTGTGACCTTGAATATGGGTGAAGGTCATTCACTTGGTAGTCCTTCATCCCAGCATCTTACTGGCATTATCCTAGGCCTCTTGGTTATTCAAAAGAAGTTGTTTAAAGGTTTAGAACATATTTGACTCTGCGACCTTGAAAAAAGATGAAGGTCATTCATTTGAACAAACTTTATAGCCCTTCATCCCAGCATGCTACTAGCCAAATATCATCACCCTAGGCCTATTGGTTATTCAGAAGAAGTTGTTTAAATGTTAAAAACATATTTGCCCTCTGTGACCTTGAATATAAGTCAAGGTCATTTATTTGAACAAACTTGGTAGCCCTTCATCCCAGCATATTACTGCCTAAATATCATCACCCTAGGCCTCTCGGTTATTCAGAAGAAATTGTTTAAATGTTTTTAACATATTTGACCCCTGTGACCTTGAATATAAGTCAAGGTTATTTATTTAAACAAACTTGGTAGCCCTTTATCCCAGCATGTTACTGGCCAACTATCATCACCCTAGGCCTCTTGGTTATTCAGAAGAAATAGTTTAAATGTTTCTAACATATTTGACCCCTGTGACCTTGAATATAAGTCAAGGTCATTTATTTGAAAAATCCTGGCAGCCCTTCATCCCAGCATGTTACTGGCCAAATATTATCACCTTAGGGCCGTTTTCGTTTAAACGGTTGAAGCGGTTGGACAACAGTTCTTCGTTTATTAAATAAAGTCGGATCTAGTAATCTGAAGCTGCTTTCAGGCGAACCTTGACAAAGCATTGTAAGGCCTGCATAAACATGTGCAGGTTCGCCAACATTTATATCCGAAATTGTTACATTTACAAACAGACAAATCGGTTGTTCCACATAAACGAACAGGCCCTAGGCCTCTTGGTTTTTCAGAAGAAGTTGTTTAAATGTTTTTAACATATTTGACCCCTGTGACCTTGGATATAAGTCAAGGTCATTTATTTGAACAAACTTGGTAGCCCTTCATCC